AAATGACCATGAAATTGGCGAAGAAATAGATATGAGTTGTATTTTGTCGTCGCAAAATTGAAGTTTAGTTTCCACAAAATATTCATAGCTAAATGGTTGCATATTTGTAACACATTCTAAAATTATAATATTAAAAGCTTTTTTAGATATAAAACAAAATATAATTCGAGTCAATTAAGAAAGTCAATAAATATAAAACAAGAGATCTTATAAAAGATATATTACAAAAAAAAAGTTAAAGTTTGATACAAAATTAAAACTAATTATGTTAAGGTTTGATACATAGATAAAAGTGCATTTCAAGCCTAGGGAGATAAAAGAGCATTTGAAACTTCTCCAGATGCAGCATCAAATTCAGTCCGATTTGTTTCAACTGAAGGTTGAGTGTTTTGTTGTGCCTGCATCACGGCTGCAAGGGCAGAAAAATCGTTTGCTAGGATCCCGAATAACTAATCGTATCCCTCCATTCGAGTTCGAAGTTCAGCATTGAGGCGGGTCTCTTCATCCAGCCGTTGCCTCAATTGTGCAGCACCATTTAACGGTGGTGGTACAGAAGAAATGGATTGAAGAGCTTGCATTAATCCTACACCATAAGTCCGCCCCTTTCTATTTTTTTGGGCAATCTTAACAAACACAAAAAATTTAAAACAAAAGATTAGATGCTGCGCAATCCTACACCATAAACGAATCTATTCTAATGTTTATCACAATCGTTTCTAGTCTATCTCTTATATTCTAACACATAACAGATAGGACTGTCTCTTATATTCCAACATATACCTGGAAAAAATTGCATTTTGTTCTTCAATTGGTAAACCACCAGAATTAACAGCATCTAGAGGAAGTTGAGACTGACGTTCTGCGATGATGGCCGCTACATCACTGTGGAGTTTTTCAGAACGAGTATCCACAAAAGTTTCATCATTTTCGTTGGTGAGTTATCACCATAACCTCAAAAATTGGGGGAAAATTCCTCCGTTCTTTTCAGCCTACATAATAAACAAGCATTAATTTATATTACGATTTATAGTTGTTTAAAAAGTAGAGATTATCGTAAAAATACCATATCTAAAGTCCGACCAGCATATGACTTTTTCCCTGAAATATGCCTACTTGGAATATGGCCGTCAACCTTAGTATTCCTAGACAATGAACACTTAGCGGTTATGATCTCTGATGCATGATCAATCCAATAGGCTACAAACCCCTTTCACACATCGGGATCCATCCACTTCAGCATTGCTTTGTCTCCCTTGTTTTTCCACTTGTTTTTTCCATTTGCACACAATATCAGCTAAGCGTAATGTGGCCTTCGCCTTGAACGTCCCACAAACAGTCTCAATGATTCCACTGTCCATATTATAATGTTGCCAAAAGAACAAAGAAACGTTTATTAATAGCTAAAAGAAGGAAACAAAAATTAATCAATCAAAATACCCATATATAAAATTTTACCACAAACATGTGAAACCAAATTTTGATGATGTCCTCATGAGTGTGAAAAATGTTCGCATGAGGTTCTGTAAAGTACATCTTGATGCAATTGGCAGCTTTTTTATCCACACTATTATCTATATCAAACCTAACAAAATTCACAGCAAAGAAATTGTTACTCTATTTTATTTCAAAAAAAAAAGAAAACAATTGATAATTAAAACAAAACAATTACCAGAAAGTGTTTGGCGCTGCAGTCTCTGTGGATGCAGTTTTGGAAGTGTGGCTCGACCAGGACTTTGAAGAAGCATATTGAATGATAAGTGGCTTAACGGATAATCGGTTCGTCCCGCCGGAGCACCAGGCGGAGGTTGAGAAACTTATGGAGTCTCAAAATTAGACTTTGTCTCGGGAGTGGTGACAGACGGGCCTGAACACGGAGGGCTACGCCTCTCTTGGGAGTGCTGTGAGCTCAGAACCTGATCGAACGGAGTAGAGGTAGGAATAATGCAACGCCTACCACCTCTACCCCTAGAGTAAACGAAATAATGGCTGGACATCTGTAGAGATCGATTAGAGAGATCAGTGTTAGGATTAAAGAGATAAGTCAGAAACAAAGAAAGAAAAAGAGGAGGAGATGAAAGGTGTGGTGTTCCTGAACAACTTCTTGTTCTTGCAATACGGATGACTCATTGGAAGAAATCGATGATGACAATCAAACCAGCTACTCTTACGGCCATTTTTTATTTGAAACACATTTGTACATGGATGCAATAAGGAAGCGATAATCTTCCATGCGTAGTCCATCCAGATAACATTCCATACACAAGAAAATCGTTTATGGTCCACATAAGCATATCACGTATTGTAAAGTTCTGCTCATGTGAGTAGTCATACGTATGCACTCCAGTATACAATAACTATTGTAACTCATGTATTAAATTCTGTAGAAATACATCAAGCGACCGTTTAGGATGTTTAGGATCTGGCACTAAAATGGTCAGAAATAGAAACTCTCGTTGCATGCATAAATTTGTAGGTAGATTGTAGAGCGTCAAAATCACTGGCCACAAAGAATACTGCCTACCGGACATACCAAATGGACTAAATCCATCAGTGCATAAACCCATATAAACATTTCTACTCTTTTTGGCAAAATCTAAATGTACCATTTAAAAAGCTTCCTGGCCTTTGCATCTGATGGATGTGTGATCTTCCCATCTGGACTTAGATGTTCTGCATGCCATCTCGTTGATGCAGATGTATTTTCCGATTGATACAGTCGCTTTAGTCTATCGATTATTGGAAGATACCACATATGTTGGTATGGGATCTTAGTTCGTCCTGAACTTGGCTTATATCTTGGTTTGCAACAAAATCGACATTCCTGCAAATGGTCATCATCTTTCCAGAATATCATGCTATTGTCAATGCATACATCTACCATATAAAGGCAAGAAGAAAACTAAATATTAACTCCTGAATTTCATAATATGACCCAACAGCCAAGTTATCCTCTGTTAAATACTCTTTGAGTAATTCTGCCCATGAATCCATATCATCCTAGATGCCAATGGCATTTAGTCAATCCTTCTCTATATCCATCGTAAATTGGTTGATTTGCAGCATCTAACATATCATAAAACCGATGAGCCTCTAAATGAAGTTGTCGTCCCATGAAATACATCACTAACCATGTCCTCAAACCTATTATGATTTTCTCCTAAATCATATTGATGTGGCTCAATATTATACATATTACGATCTTCCACATGCTGAACACTACTACTACTTGATGCATTTACAATATTTGCTTCTCCATAAGAAAACCAAATATAACAGTTGGGCAAAAATCCTCTACTATATAAATGCTTTACGGAAGTATTGACAGAAATATATTGCAAATTTTTGCATTTTCGATATGGACATAACACATACATTGCAGTCTATGAAACAATGTTCATAGGAAATTTTTCACAAATAGCTGTAAGAGGTTAATTGAAATCATATTGTTGTTATAGATATACAAATACAAACATTACATGTTCAACTGTCCACGAAAGTTCATCCACGTGAGGAGATGATTATGGTGTTGCAATTTTTAAAATTCTCTGAAAAACTGATCTCAAACAATCCAGCTGATTCTCATATGCATTCAATCTGAATTTCTTTTTGAAAATCCATATCTAATTGAACCCATATGCATCAATCCGAATCTCTTTTTTTTTTTATAGAGAAAAATCCAAAAAACACAACAAAAGAATTTATCTTCGTAATGATTCACCAGGAATTCAACTCAAGAGAAAATAAACATAGAACGATTGAGAGATGAAGAGACGAAGAGAAATAATTATTGAAATCATCGAAGGAGAGAAAAACAGAAAGAAAGAGAAAATAAGAAATTGTAAATGGCAAGGATATGAATGATTTTGCATACTTCCAAAGTATGTGAGTAGTTAAAAGTACATTTTAATGTAATTAGAAAGTGGCAAAGTACCTTTAAATGTAATTAGAAAGTGGCAAAGTGCCTTTAAATATAATAACATGTGCTAAGACCAGTTCCATCAACATATCTTACAACGATATATAACAAATAAAATATTGAAAAAAATAGAAAAGAAGAGAGAATGAAAGATGTCTCTGGTTTAAGAAACTTCAAGAAACCGACAAGTATAAATTAATAATTGACTCATTTCTTTATAATTTAAAATTTAATTATATCAATAAATTTAATTAATTTTATATATATTAAATATGTATATTGGCGTTGTATATGCTCTAACTACCACTCTACAGTGTTGTTCGTTTGGTTGCCGCAAGTACCTGCTGCTGCAGCAGCGTCTAAAATTGTTGTTCGTTTCGTTGCCGCAGGTACCTGCGTTAAAAAAATTTAGATGCCAAAAAAAATTAGCTGTGTAGTTATGATCTGCGACTGCGGCTGCGACTTGCGATTACATATTTTGAATTGTTGTTCGTTTGGTTGTTGCAGGTACTTGTGGCTGCGGCTGTAGCTATAACTTCCAGCTGTGACTACAAAACGAACAATTATTTGTTGTTGCGGCAATGGCTGCAGTAACGATAGCAGCTGCAAAACGAATAACAACCTGTGGTAATATTATCGCTGTCGCAAGCACGGCAACGATAACCAAACGAACAGGCCTTACTTAGCCTGAAAATCGGCCGCAATCTTGATATGGTACTAAAACATATATCAACTCAAAATTATTTCAAACTTTTTATATCCAAATTAACAAAAAGCAACTAATTAATATGTTGACTTTATCCATTAGTCAAACGTTTACAGAAAATGATATCTCCGTTACCAAGTGCATATTAGTTTTTGAGGACTCGATACCAGGTTGAATAAAATTAAGGTTGTTCACTTTAAATCTAACTGAAATCGAAATAATCGATCCAATAAAATCGAACCATGGGCTTTGTTTATTTGTAAAAGGACTCTTGTGCTCCAAGCCAGAATATAAAAGACTTATAAATACTTTCTTTCCTAAGCAGCTGTCTAGGGTTTCCACTTTCTCCTTTCTCCTTTCTCCTTATTCATCTTCTCCATGGACAATAAATCTGCCACCAAAGCTGAAGCAGCGCCTTCTGTGATTGAAGCCACGATGCCTCTGAAGAAACGTAAGAAAGACATAAAGACTGAGAAGAAAATATCTGATGCGATGGAGATAATGGAAGGATTTGATGTTCGTCTTCATCAGATCGAAGAAAAGATGGATCCGTTGATCTCATTGATTAGGTCAAATAATGAAGTTAAAATTGGCTCGGTAAAGGCTGAAGCAGAATTCATGCCTATGGATGGATCATCTTTAGATGAGGAACCTGCTCAGCCGCTATCTGATGATAGCCGTTTTGGTCGTTTTGTCCGTGGTCGTGGTCCTTTTGTTGGTCCTTATGTCCGTGGTTCTTTTGTCCGTGGTCGTAGTCCTGTTTTCCGTGGTCGTGGTCTTTTTGTCGGTGGTCGTTATGCCGGTGGTCGTTGTGGCGGTCTAGGCCATTGTGGCGGCTGCTGAGGTTTTTGGTGCCGGAGGAAGAGACCTAGTTTTGCTTCTCAGCTTCAGCTTTTATTTTATTTTTTCTAATTTTTTTTTAAAGAAGCGGATCTTTGGCGTCTTTAACTTGAGATGTAACGCAACCTTTGTCAATAGTTCGGTTTTCTCTGATGTTCTATAGTTACGGTTTTCTCTGATGTTCTATAGTTACGGTTTTCTCTGAATGTTAAAGTAATATACATAATCCAAAACTTTATTATAACTTCGTTTTCTTGAAGAATATACATGAATTGACAACTCACAAGCACAAGTACTCGTTCCATTAACATTACATAGCGTCAGAAATACCTTTTGAGCAACAACCGGACTTGTTTTCCAATGTACAGACATGCAATGAAGCGACCAATAAAACTCAATTTTTTTTTTTATTGGCAAAGCCTTACTGTTTGTCAACGACACTGATTCTATAGTAACAATGTAATATATGGATAGTGCAGCGACACACGCAATGAGCTAAGTACCACTCTGCTTAGCACTGGAGGTAGATGTTGTCATGAACGATTCACCACACCCGCATTGCCCTTGTGAGTTTGGATTGATGAACACAAACTCGGATCTGAGTTTATCATCTATAAAATCCATCTTTGTTCCAATCACATGCATTAAGGCCTTTGGTTCAACAAGTATCCTCACACCTTTCTCCTCCACAAGCTCATCAAATTTCCCTTTCTCATCTGAAACAATAGTGGTAGAGAAAAGTTTGTACTTAAACAACGGCTCAAGACAAGCAATCAACAGCATGTAACATAGCAAGAAACTCTGAAAAATCCTAGTAATGTTTAAACTGTGCATTAGTTGATGGAAAGATAGAGAAATCATTACATCGTAATAAACCATAACAGATAAAATGATACTCGAGCCTGCTTTGTTGGCTATCGATTCATTCATATAGATACAAACAAAACTGAATGGTACGACCTCTTTTTCCGTTACTTTTCTTACGGATATTTGCAAATATTTGCAAAAATACGGAGTTGACTCTGAAACTAGACAGATTTTGGAACAATTCCATCAATGCATATGGCTTTCTCATCAACGAGCTCTAAACCAGAGGATAAACCTGAAGCGAACATCTAGAGGCTTTAAGGGAACCTATGGTCCTATGCATTCAGCTAGTGTCCCTGATTTTGTCTCATAAGTCAGGAAACATCCACATAGTCTTTTATTCTACCAATAGATAGCACTTGACGCATATCAATGCATATGGCTTCTTCGTCAATGAGTTAAACACCAGATTCATCACTTGTAAACACACATAAGCATTCCCAAATCTCAACTGTTTACCAATTCTAGTATCTATATATCCTCGTGCTATTGCTATCAAAGAGATGAATAAGAACAAAACAAACCAAAGGTTGGAGTCGCAATGCGTATAGCTTCTTCGTCAATGAGCTAAACACCAGGTTCATCACTAGTAAACACACATAGCCATTCCCAAATCTCAAGTTTTTACCAAGACTAGTATCTATATATCCTCGTGGTATTGCTATGAAAGAGATGAATAACAACAAAACAAAGCGTTGGTTTTTTTTTTTGCCAGCACAAGATTAAAAACTCCAAGAATCAATGCCCTAAAATCAAAGATTGAAGCTTTGGTAATACGTCGCTTCAACAAAAAGTCAGAGAAATCTTGGAGGATACGAAGAATTAAGAGAGAGTTGTGTGATCGTTACCGGCGTAATTGAGCGTGTATGATAAGCCGTTGCATCCTCTTGCTTTTACGCCCAATCGGAGGAAAGGTTTCTGCCTCTGCTGCAAGAGATGATTAACCCTAGAGGCAGCTTCCTCCGTCAAGGTTAACACTTGCTTCCTCATCGCCGGACCAACCCTCGCCGCCGCTGCCGCCAAAACTCGAGAACCCTTCATCGATCGAATCCTCGGAGAAGATAATTATAGACTATATCAAAACCCTAAATCCAACCTATTTCTTTATAGAAGCATTAAGCAATTCAATAGACAAATCCAACAGACTAATTCCTCGATTCTCTTCCCATTTGACTCAGAAGAAGAACATACCCGAAGAAATCAATGTTGTTGACGAGACGAGAGAGCTCTAGTTTCAGTTTCAGACCTTGAACTTGGGCTTATATTTGGGCCTTTTCTCATTTCTGGCCCGTTATTATGTTTGACTTGCTTAAGCCCAATGTCCTTTCTTCGTCGTCTCCTCCGTTGCCGTCTCTGTTAACGAATACGGTGTCGACTTTTGGGATTTCACTTCTTTGAAGAAGCTCCGGGGAGTACGAATTTCCGATGTTCTCCGCCGTCGTCAGACCTTTCATCTCTCCGTCGCCACTGCTCTTTCTCCGTCCACTTTCTTCTTTCTCAATTTCCTTCCGATCCTCTCACTTGCCGTCTCCTCGTCCTCTCCTTGCCTCTGGCCGTAGTAACTACAGTCGCCATGCCTTTCTCGGTGACCAGTACCTTTCGTGTTCCATGCCTGAGAAGCCTCTTCGTGTCGCCGTTCTCCTCAGTGGCGGCGTCGATAGCAGCGTCGCTCTCCGCCTCCTCCACGCCGCTGGCCATTCATGTACAGCTTTCTACCTCAAAATCTGGTTCCAGGTGTGCTTCTTCTTCGCTTTCTATCTCAAATTTTCCCTTAGTGTTCTTTGGCTCTGCGTAACAATGTGGGTTATGGATTGTGATGTTATATGTTCTGTACTCTGTAGGAAGGCTTTGAGAATTTCTGGAATCAGTGCCCATGGGAAGACGATTTGAAGTATGCAAAGCATGTTTGTGAGCAGGTAGTTTCTTGATTAACCCTAAACCATGTGGTTTTATCTTCAAGATATTTTGATTTTTTTACTTATTATACTTGACAATGAACTGCTTATAGTGGTGCCCTTTTCTAGGTTGATGTACCTTTGGAGGTTGTGCATTTAACAGATGAATACTGGGAAAGAGTTGTAAGTTGTTTATTCCATGGCTTTTTTTTGTTTGTTTTAGAATGCATAATTGTTTGGGTTTCTGATAGGATTTTGAACGATAAAATCAGGTTTCTTACATTATTGAGGAGTACCGTTGTGGACGTACACCTAATCCGGATGTTTTATGTAATACTAGAATCAAGTTTGGTAAGTTCTTGTGCTAGAGAAGAATTCGTAATCAAGACTGTTCTCTCATGAAAAACACTATACATGTTATTTTGACTAATGACTTTATATATTTTCAGGGGCATTCATGGATGCAATCAGTGATATGGAGTATGACTACATAGCTTCAGGTCATTATGCTAAAGTGGTCCATCACCAAAATGATTCATCGTCTCTTTTGCAACTATCACAAGACATGGTACTTTCTCTAATTGAACAATTTGACTTTTATCATCGCTTGTTGGGTTTTAATGTTTTTTTGATAAAAGTTGGTGTTTAATGTTTGCATTTATACGTAGTGTCATAGGCTTCTAATGCTTATATTTCTTTGGTTTTCAGTACCTTGAACCATTTTAAAAGTTTGAATTTTTCTGTTTTTGTAGGTGAAGGATCAAACCTACTTCCTCTCACATCTCTCTCAAACCCAGCTTAAGCGACTGCTTTTCCCACTTGGTTGCATAAAGAAGGTACGAGGATGTTATATCTTTGCAAAGATCTTTGTCCAATACCTCTGCTCCATTTCGAAACGTATAAGAAAACATTTTAGCTTGTTTTCTGATGTGCAGGATGAAGTTCGCAAACTAGCTACAGACTTTGATTTGCCAAACAAAGATAGAAAGGATTCACAAGGAATATGTTTCCTTGGCAAGGTATTCGTTATAGTATTGTTCCTCTGGTTAATGAGACTTTACGTAAATGCAAGTCTGAAACTTTTGAACATGGTTTTTATGTAATAGATAAAGTTCAGCGATTTCGTGGGAAGACACATTGGAGAGATGGAAGGAGTCATCTTGGAAGCTGAAACTGGTGATTTTCTTGGTAACCATCGAGGATTTTGGTTTTACACAATCGGACAACGCCAAGGCTTGCGTTTACCCGGTGGACCCTGGTTTGTTTTCTTAACCGATGTTAATGAAATGAAAATCGGTAGCTGTTTTTATCATTGGTTCTGAATATACATGGACGCTTGTCCTTGTGTAGGTATGTTGTTGAAAAGGACACTAAGAACAATGTATTGTTTGTCTCAAGAAACTACTACTCAATCGACAAGAGAAGGCGGATTTTCCGAGTTGGATCTATAAGATGGCTTAGTGGGAAACCTTCAGGGAATGTAAGCAAGCTCCGTTGCAAGGTAAAAGAATATGATCAAATGACTTTCTAAATCTACACACACTATGGTTATATATTTTGCGTTAATATATGCTAAGAGCGGCTTCTATAGGTTCGGCATGGACCTGGCTTCTACAGCTGCAGTTTTGAGATGGAAGCAGAAGGAGATGATGTTGCGGTTGTGCATCTAGACGAAGATGATCAAGGTCTAGCTGCTGGACAGTTTGCAGCTTTCTACGAAGGAACCACTTGCATCGGGTCGGGAGTAATCCTCGAGTCATGGGACGATCAGTGTTTCCCTGTCTGTGCAAAAGCTCTTGAGCTCGCAGCGTTGGAGGACAAAACCAAACTCGGGAAACCTGTCAAGATCAAGACGATGCCAGTTACGACATCTGTTGAGGCAGAAGAAAAGCTGGTCAACGCGTGAGACAGGGACAATGGTCAATGGTGTAGTAGAAAGTCTCAGGTACATTCTGAAGCTTTAGATGACAAAGTGACAAGAGCTTCTCCTCTCCTCGAGAGAGTTTGTATTGGGCGAACGAGTGACTTTTGTATTATCCACATTTTGGCATTTTGCATTGGGAAAGTCAAACTTTGTCACTCTGCTTGTAAAACCAAACGACAGCGTTTAGCGTCGAAAAAGTTAAAGAAAAAGAAGTGGGGTCCACACAGGGAAGAAAAGCCGAGTCATCGGGTCTGTGTTTTGTGCTGTGTGTCCCACGACAAAATTATATCCACAACTACCTCTCTCTCATTAATCACCGTAATTAAAGCTATTTCAATGGAGCCAATAATTATCAGACAAATCAAGCTTTTTTAAAAAAATCGAATATCAGCTAATCTCCACAAAAAAAAAATTATACGGCCAACAAAAAATTGTTTGTGCATGACTTTCGTATACTCACAATTATTACACTTCACCGAACAAACAAAATCATTCAGGCGACGTGAAGATCCAGAGATAATTAACGAGATTTAAAAATCAATTAAGCGGTTTAAAAAAGTAACGTTTATTTCCCCTTTATATCTTTTCCAACGCAACACTCCACTCTCTCCACTAACACGATGGCTTCCTCCATTAACCTCCTCCTTCTCTTCTTCTTCTTCCTTTGTTCTCCGATCACTTCCTTACAAACGGAGAAGAAGAAGACTTTCATTTTCCGCGTGGACAGTGGATTGAAACCATCCGTTTTCTTTACGCATTACCACTGGTACAGTTCCGAGTTCGCCGAGGGTTCTCAAATCCTCCATTCATACAACACAGTCTTCCACGGCTTCTCCGCCACGGTTACACCCAACGACGCCGAGATCCTCCGTAACCATCCCGCGGTTCTCGCGGTTTTCGAAGATCGCCGCCGTGAGCTTCACACCACTCGTTCTCCTCAGTTCCTAGGCCTCCGTAACCAGAAAGGACTCTGGTCTAACTCCGATTACGGATCCGATGTAATCATCGGCGTTTTAGACACCGGAATCTGGCCGGAGCGGAGGAGCTTCTCTGATCTAAACCTTGGACCGGTTCCGAAACGTTGGAGAGGCGTTTGTCAGACGGGAGCTAGATTCGAGAGTGGAAACTGTAACCGGAAAATCGTCGGCGCTAGATTCTTCGCTAAAGGACAGCAAGCCGCCGTGATCGGCGGAATCAATCAAACGGTTGAGTTTCTATCGCCGCGAGACGCCGATGGACACGGAACTCATACCGCTTCAACCGCCGCAGGACGTCAAGCCTTTAGGGCTAGTATGGCTGGCTACGCCGCTGGTGTTGCCAAAGGCGTGGCTCCTAAGGCTCGTATCGCTGCCTACAAAGTGTGTTGGAAAGACTCCGGCTGTTTAGATTCCGATATCCTCGCCGCCTTTGACGCTGCTGTCTCGGACGGAGTCGACATTATCTCTATCTCCATAGGTGGAGGAGATGGAATCCCTTCGCCGTATTACCTTGATCCCATCGCGATAGGCTCTTACGGTGCGGCGTCGATGGGAGTCTTCGTCTCCTCCTCCGCCGGAAACGACGGACCTAACGGTATGTCGGTTACAAACTTAGCGCCGTGGGTGACCACTGTGGGAGCAGGAACAATCGATAGAGATTTTCCGGCCGATGTTATTCTCGGGGATGGACACCGTCTCCGAGGTGTTTCTCTCTACTCCGGGGAGCCTTTAAATGGCCGGATGTTCCCGGTGGTTTATCCGGGGAAGACCGGAATGTTAGCTGCTTCTCTATGTATGGAGAATTCGCTTGATCCTAAGCTTGTGAGAGGTAAAATTGTGATTTGCGACCGTGGAAGCAATCCTAGAGTGGCTAAAGGACTAGTGGTGAAGAAAGCAGGCGGCGTCGGGATGATACTCGCTAATGCCGCCTCTAACGGCGAAGGCTTAGTCGGAGATGCTCACCTTATCCCGGCTTCGAACGTTGGATCAAGCGCAGGTGAGAGGATCAAGGCCTACGCTTTGACTCATCCAAATCCTGTAGCTACAATAGATTTTAAAGGGACGGTGATCGGAGTTAAACCGGCTCCGGTCGTGGCTTCGTTCTCCGGTAGAGGACCAAACGGATTAAACCCGGAGATTTTAAAACCCGACCTGATTGCTCCAGGTGTTAACATTTTGGCGGCTTGGACCGATGCCGTGGGGCCTACGGGAATGGTTTCTGATCGCCGGAAAACAGAGTTTAACATTCTCTCAGGTACTTCGATGGCTTGTCCTCACGTTAGTGGAGCAGCAGCTCTGCTCAAATCTGCTCATCCGGATTGGAGCCCCGCCGCTATAAGATCCGCTATGATGACAACGGCGAGTCTCGTGGATAACTCCAACCGCTCGTTGATCGACGAATCCACCGGAAAACATTCGACGCCTTATGACTTTGGTTCGGGTCATCTCAATCTTGGTCGAGCAATTGATCCTGGTCTTGTCTACGACATAACCAACGACGACTACATTGCGTTTCTCTGCTCCATAGGCTACGAGACGAAAACGATTCAGGTGATTACAAGAACGCCAGTGAGATGTCCGAGGAGGAAACCGTCGCCGGATAATCTGAATTACCCGTCGATCACTGCCTTGTTCCCTACGTCAAATAGAGGTTTCTTGAGCAAGACTCTAGTCCGGACTGTGACCAACGTTGGACAGCCCGAAGCGGTTTATAGGGCGTGGATAGAGTCGCCTAAGGGAGTGACAGTGACTGTCACGCCGTCTAGGTTGGTGTTCACGTCGGCCGTTAAGAAACGGAGCTATGTTGTAACGGTGACGTTGGATACGAAGAATCTGGTGTTGGGTGCGTCAGGTGCTGCGTTCGGGTCTGTTACGTGGTCTGACGGTGGACGACATGTTGTTCGTAGCATCGTTGTGGTCACACAGATTAACACGTTGTGAGTCGGGTCGGGTCTGGCTGATCATGACTATTGTACGAATCTTTTTGTATGCCATGTAGAAGTTTTAAGGTACTTTTTTATTTGCCGTTTTGTCTTCTTTTTTTTATATTTTTTACATTCCCTAAATTTATATGTATCAAAGGAGAAACAAACCAAAGACGACGTTGGTGTATCTCACCAAAACTATGTGTCAGAATTTGTAGAGAATCAAAACGAAAACTGAACTTTGGAAACTATCGTCATATGAAACTAAACGTGTCCTATACATAAATTTAAATGATTAAGTAGATCGTTTCCTTCTGACATCGCCATAACAAAATTCTATTTAATAACTTTGATGAGTTTGATTTGTATAACTTTAGTGCGTTTGATTTGTTTACTTGATATCGGTTAAATTCAAGATAAATGTGTTGTTGATGCAAAAAATCAGCAATCAAAGATCTCAATATCCGTATGCTTAACCGACAAAAAGAAATCCACATTATTCGACAAATTATCCGTATCCGACTCTTAAACGGTATTTCATGATCTACCACCTCAAATGCATATATCTATTGAAAAAAAGTATACATTACACCTATTTTTAAATTGCATAAATCCCGATAATAGTTCTTCTCAACAATCTCTTCTTCAACGAAACTTTGCTTGAATCTTCCAAAATAATCTATATCAACGACAAATGGTTTAGCTCTAGCACATAGCTTTGTGTTTAAAATTTGGTTGTGAACGTACTCTTGATCACAAAGGCCGACCAACAAAAGGTCAACTTTTTATCTTGTTTTATGATAAGCTAGATGTTAAATCCGAACGTCTAAATATATTTTGGAACGTCGGTCCGGGATGACAAAGAAAACTCACATATCTTTGGGCACCACGAGAAGGCAAATTAGATTAGACCTCCTTAAAGAACTGTTCATACGTATGTTTTGGCAAATTAAAGCAAATGACAAAAAAAAAAAGCAGAAAGAAAAAAGAAGTTGACTAATGTCGACGTCAATGAAGGTAGACAATCTAATCTTTTCATACGTAACTGTTCGAAGTTATCAGCTTGCCAACTGTACGGTTATCTGCTTTCAACATAATAATCACATTTTAAAAAAATGCATGTCATGTACGTATCTTGTTTTTCCAAAAAAAAAAGACTTATCTAAGATGTTTTTGTATTCACGCTATTTTCTAATATGCCCATAATCTGGTCGAGTTTGGTCTTAAACCTACCGTTGATAAAAGATAGATAAAATGTAGATCTATAAAATAGACTCCTCCATAGAATATATAAGCTTTGAGAGAGATTCATTCCCTTTTCATGTTTGCTTAACCGACAAAAAGAGATAACAACAAAATTTAAAAAGAAACGTCAGTCGTAACATACATAATTAAAAAGGTGCTTTGCTGGTAAGAAAGATTGGAAAAAGTAAGCACTAACCAGCAATAGTTAACATTAATTAATACCTAATCAATGTTAACTATTGACAAAGCAAGTCAAATTTTACTTTTATAGTATTCTTTTAGTTAATTTATTTGGCGCGATCTTGGATAATATCGAATCCCATCTCTGTGGGATCGGTGGCTTGAAGCTCATAGTGAATCCCTTCCAAAACTCTCCTCAGTCCAGCTTTCGACGTTGCGTATAAAATTTTAGCCCTTATCTTTGATGCTTCCGGTGACCTTAACTCCAATAACAAATTTAATTACCATTTCATTTTACCTTTCATCCCATGTAATAAATGTTTTAGCAACACTGTAAACACACATTTTAGAAGTGGGACATTCTGTTTTTGGTTTGGTTTCATTGAATTTTGTTTTCTGGATTTTGAAAAATATGTTTGAACTACAACCGATAGTATTTTATTTAGGTTTGGTTTCAATGTGACTAAATTTCATTGGATACAAAATCAAACCAAACTAAATTAAATAACTAATCATATTTTAATTAAAGTATTAGTTTAATTAATTCCGGTTTATTCATTTCGCTTAAAATAAAATTCGGATTTCGTTCAACCAGTTTGTTAGAAAACATACGAATATAATTCGGTTTGGTGAATTTTGGTTTGATTCGGTTCTTTGGGTTTGATTTATTAGTTGTCTGGTGCTGCTAACATGCTAATATAAAGGAAATGCCTATTTTACCCTTGCTAGTATGAAAAATTCGAGGGTATAAATGTAAAAATATCTAGTTTTGGAACCTATAAGGAGACTAACCAGGCGATGAAGAAGATCTTGCTCTTACGGCAGTTATCGACGGTGACGAAGTCGAAATCGAAGACGGCGTAACGACAGTCGTCCACCGGTAAAGACGCGGCGAGGTCTTGGTAGCTTTCTCCGGCGCCGCCAACTTTATCAACGGTGACTTTACGAGACTTCTCTTCGATCTTGAACACGATGTATCTGTACACTTTCTTCCATTTCATCTCCGTGAATGAGTTCGTACACTCCTCCGTCACACGCATCCCCGTCGTCGCCTGGCAAATCGTATGATGATCATCAATATATATGATATTTAATTATTTAAAAATCAGATCAAGAATCATAAACAATAGAAAAAATATATTCTTTTACCATCTTGAAAGCCATCGCCATTCTTGCTAATAATTAAAGTTGATTCTTCTTCTTCTTCTTCTTCTTCTTCTGTCTCTTTCTTTCTTTCTGAGCGTGAAGAGCTTTTTTTCCGTTAAAATGGTATGACTTTGAGGTCTTTATATAAAGTTACGCCTACACAAATGCGATCATTTATTACAAAATTAGCCTTGGCACTGAACGTCAACTTTTTTTCATTGGAGGCGAATAATTTGTCTCGTGGGCTTTATTCTGCACTAAGTATTTGTGTGTACTTATTTTTGTTTTCTTAACTCATTTTTTTTTAAAAAACACACTAGGTATTTACCCGCGCTATACTGCATGATATTTTTCTAGATTTTGCATATATTTTTAATATAATAAAATTATTTTTATAATATAAATAAGTATTATATTTATTTTTTATTAACTTAAGTTATGTATTTATATGTTTTAAATCTAAATAAACATTATTTATTTTTTATTATTTTATTTTTCAAAATTATAACTTGCTATTAAATTTAGTTAGCTAACGAATTGTAAATGTATATATACGAATAAAATATATAACAATAAACCAATACATATTTAGTACTTTCATGCTAATGACAAATGTAATCTATCTTCTCCAATAAATTGCCACATGATCCTCATTTGTAATTATATAAAGCAAAATACCATTTAAAAAAAGATTTATTAATTAATATAATTATTTTAAATTATAAAATTTATTTATTTATCAAATATTTTATTATAAACATATGTTTCTAAAACTACCAAACTATAATCAATAACATTCATATCAAAACCATTGCTATTGCTTTAGAACTAAATAGAAATTTATATTTGAACTCTTAAAATATCGTTTTAGTTAAAGTTAAATAATTAAATTTTGGTTACTGTAAACATACTTTAACTTGAAAATTTAGCACATGAAAATTTCATCTTCTTACAAAAATCGAGAAATCGCATTTTTCGTCAAAACAAAAAAATTTCATTTTCCCATTAAACTGAGAAATCGGCTATTCCCACTAAAACCAAAAAAAATTATTTTCTCGTCAAACCTAAAACCTAAAATTTCATTTTCCCGTGAGAACCTGTGTTTTTCAACTAAAGCCAAGAAATTACGTTTTTTCATAAAAACCAAAAAATTTTATCTTCCTGCAAAAACCAAAAAAAAAAAATTATATTTTCCTGCCAAAATCAAAAAATTTATTTTTTCTTGCGAAAACTGAGAAATCGTCTATTCCTGCCAAAAAAATAATTATTTTCTCGTCAAGCCCAGAACCACTCTTTCCTACAAAACAAATAAACTACAATTTCCCGCGAAAACCAAAAATTGCATTATCTCCAGTGAAATTGTGTTTTCCTGCGAAAACTAAGAAATTGTTATGTTTTTATCGGTTCAAATTTTTGCTGATGTGTGAGCTTCTTATAATATAAGGCTTTTTGCGTTGTTGCATGGAAGCATAGTTGATGCTGAGTTTACACTTTTTCAATCATATACGTCTATGTCAAACAAATAGATAGCTAGAATTTTTTTTATTATTTATTTGCTGTTATTTATTATTTGGATTTGGGTTTTTAATGGGTTTAAGTTTAAAATTTAAAATAAGTAGATGAGATGTATTAATAAAATGTTTTGATTGGTGATTATTTTTGCTGAGGTGTCATATTTATAAAGATTAAAAAAGCTGAGATGTCAAACCATGAAGAGACTTTAGTGTTATTGTTGTGTTGATTTTCATTTTTGTAAAAGAATAAACCTCGTTCATACTAAATACTAGCATACATTATATAAGTGATTAAATTTTTGATGTAAGAAAATAACAATTTGTTGTACGAACTACGAAGTCACAGTCTATCTTGGGTACTTTGTAAACAAATAAGACCTCTTTGTTTCCCAATTTAAATGGCAAGTAAGAATTTACAGTAATTAGTGCAAATTAGTTGTTCTGAAAGTAATAAAGACCAGTAATTTAACTTTACTGAAAACAATAATTAACGCTTAAAATTCAGTATTACTAACGGGTTTTTAAGCATTGGAAAAGATTATGAATCAATGATTTGAAATTTCCAAGATTTATTATATATAAAAAAATCATTGTAACAATGGCGATGGCTTTCCACATGGTAAAAGAATTTTTAATTCATTGTAATTGTTTCAGAACAAATTTTGGGATGCTACGTGGAGTGTGTGATTCGTCGGGGAACGGAGTTGTGCCTCTAAATTTCATCCTCTGGGGAGAAAGACGGCGAAGCATTTCAGGGCGGAAGTCTTTGATACCGGGATAACAACCCGGAGTTCCACCTGAAGAAGTAGGGGCTGCGGTAGTTTACTTTTCAGGCAGTAATACACCAGGCTGCTTGTTAGGAAACGGGACAGTCATCACGTCAAGTCCTGCAAATACTCAAAGAATGGTCAGATGAGCCTCCGGGAAGACCGAAAGGGGGTTTCCCTCCCGAAGGTTCTCTGACGCCCAAGTCAATGAACATCCTACCTAGAACAAATACTCGGGAGGGGGATTTCTACGGGTTAGTAGTGAGAAGTCTCATCCAGGGATCGAGGCATCTATCTGTTTTTGGGTGTTTCGGAGGGGGTTTTACACGGTAAAAGAAGACGAAGCGAATATAAAGACAAGATTCCGTGTTGGGGACGACTTAACCTGATGGGCATTCACCCGGGAAGAACATGGAGTTCACCCGGGAAGAACATGGAGTTCACCATGATCCTACTGCTTGCCCAGGCCGACTGATTCAGATATAAGCGGATACCTCCTCTTATAAAGGGGTTTTTCCCATTCGATCAGTCAATCTCCTTCTGTGTGGTGATCTCTTCTAATTTATACTCGCATGCTCCTTGTCCTGTCTCTTCCATCCGGCGTGCCAAGAGAGCAGGTGAAGGTAATGATTCTAGCGTATTTGGGGAAGATCGCCAACTGCCCCGGAACAGTACGCGAGAGTGGGTCGGCCGAGCTAGCGTGGCGTGTGTCAGCGTCTAGTGCAGTCTAGGTCCACGTGTCGGGCTCTCTTTTGACCCAATAAAATGGGTCCCAATAGTTTCCCCCGACTTCTCGGCTTATTGATAGATGAGCCGGGGACTCGAATCCTCCTTGATTTCCTGTAAAACGAACACATGTTATCCAGTTCCCTAGGTGACCTGCCACTTAAGGGCTAAGTAGACGTGACGACCATACTGTATATCGCGAGGGATACAGTACTGGTTTGGGCGAGCTAAGCTTTAGGAGACAGCAAAAATTTAAGAACTCATCCAAGCCGTGCCATGTATCCTAGAGTAGTACGATACTAACTGGGTGGTTCAGACTTCCGGAGAAGTGGGATGGGGTATCGACTTCAACCTCGGCGCATACCATGAAAGAGTGCAACCGTGGCCGAAAGAGCAGATTGAATGGGACTCTCAACCCCGACCTTATTCATAAGTCCCGTAGGAGCACGTTATTGGTCGAAGAAATCACACTTCCAGGAAAGTGAGCCGCAAGGCAGTTTTTATTAGATGTCAACTCCGACCTTATTCGCATCCGAGGGAGTACATTATTGATCGAAGGAATTACGCTTATGTAGGAAACGGACTGTGAGACGGTCAGACTAGATACATGTAGAGAGACTCACCAGCCTACGTTATGCATCCGATGGAGTACGCCGTTCGGCCTGGGGAGCTAGGTGATGGGGTCCTATCCTGACTGGGGCGTGCATCCGGGGGAGTGCGACGCTTGCTTAGGATAGGAGGATAGGCGTTCCCGGGGAGAACTAATAGCTTGGCCACTGGTGGACATCTCTCTTGAGGGATTTTACTTCTTGCTCGTGAGGCACTAGACAAGAAGCTGTCTTGCCCCCGCTAATCGGGGTCATGAGCGAGGTTATAGCCTTATGTGACCGTGGGGATCAGCATATGATAGCGACGCAGGCTAAGACACCGGCCTAAGGGTTAGAGGTGGCACCGTTGGACGGATGAATAGACATTCCCTGAGGGAGAGTCGCTACTCGAATGCCGCTGGTGCGGAGTAGGGCCTTTCCCGAGGGCGTTACCTCGACTCCCTTACTGCATGGACAGCCTTTGCGTTGTGCTTACGCGGAAGTTTGGTGGGTTTTGAGAGCGTGCTTGTGACATTCTCCGAAGGGGAAGAGGTCGGAAAATTATCAGGAAGAGAAAGCCTGCGAGTCGGCGATCTCAATTCCCATGGTGCCTGAGTGGCAAGCATGTCCTGGTGAGGAGCGCGCTGATTTATCGCTCGGCCCATTGGAGGGGACTGGCGGGGAAGATCCAAAGATCTGAGAGGCCTGAGCTCTAGAATCCCGAGGGGATACTGTCCTGGAGGATGAGCAAGTTCACGGAAAGCATGCTAAGGGTGTGCGCGGTCTATGGAGGGAGCTGGCACGGGGCAAGCCACTGGGGCCTGCTGGACCGGAGTCCTGAATTTCTGGAGGAATGGTGTCGCGGAGGACGAGCAAGTTTATGGAAGAGCATGCTAAGAAAAGGGGATTCGGGGTACGACAGAGGAAGAGAATTACTTGGTCGCTGCACGGGCGGGACGTGCGATCGAAGGAGCGAATGATTGCGAGATTATACCAAGAAATATTGTATGGTCATGCAAGCGATGAAACGAACAATCATGCAAGCAGAAAATCGAGCTATTACGCAAGAAGAAAATCAAGCTATCATGCAAGCAAGAAATCAAACAATCATACAAGCAAAAAATCGAGTAATCACGCAAGCAGGATATCAAGCAATCATACAAGCAGGAAATCAAATAATCATGCAAGCAGGAAATCAAACAATTACACAAGCAGGAAATCAAGCAATCATGCAAGCAGGAAATCAAACAATCATGTAAGCAGAAAATTAAACAATCATGCAGAAAGGAAATCAAACAATCATGCAAGCAGGAAATCAAACAATCATGCATGACCTCAGTGACCAAGACCGTGTTAGGGACGGTCATGTTTCGTCCACAGTTATGGGTGCCGTAAAACCCGTCATGGGGCCCGCACTGCCTGGACTATTACGTTCAACCCACAGGTGCGGCTGTCTCACACCCCATCCTCGAAGTCGACTTCTCCCGGGGGCGCATTTGCGGTTATCCTGTAGGGGCACAAAATTTATACCATTGCAGCTGTTGTCAATTAATCTTCAGAAGACATTTGGTAAGGTCGGTGGTCTCCCTTTGAATCTTTCCGTGCAAATCTTTGGGGTCTGGCGAATGCGGTCCATGTGGCAAACCGTTGGTGGTTTGAAACACAGCGCGTCACTTCATGCAGCATGCGCCACTTCCTCGAGAGCCACCGGTCACCTTTTCTGCTATGATGGACTCCTTTTCTCTCTCCGTGTTAAATGCGCGTCACTTCCCACACACGGCTTGGGAGACTTATAATTACTAGTCTGCCACTGACTTTTGGCTTTCTCCGACCGATGCGATTCCTCTCACGTGCCTCTTCGGTTTCTTCTTCTTCTATAAAATTGCGAAGTTCACAGTTCTGCGGATTTACTCCATTTTTGAAGCAATCCTCAAAACTCTCTCTTCTTAAACTTTATTTCTTTTCTGCCACACATTCCTCTTCTCGTTCATTTAAGATGTCGGCTTCAAGTTCATCGTCTGACGAGTAGCATGCTCGCTACTCCTGGGCCGGAGGCGAAGTCGAGGACATCGACGGGATACCCTCGGCGTCTAACCCTGCCGACTTCTCCTAGGACGGGGCGAGGTTGAAGATATCGCTGGGGCGCCCTCAGCGTCCAACCCGACCGACCGCCCGCCTTCGACCTGCACGCCAGAATCACGGTAAAAGAAGACAAAGCGAATATAAAGGCAAGATTCCGTGTTGTGGACAACTCAACCTGATGGGCATTCACCTAGTTAGAACATGAAGTTCATGCTTGTCCAGGCCGACTGATTCAGATATAAGCGGATATCTCCTTTTATAGAGGGGGTTTTTCCCATTCGATCAGTCGATCTCCTTCTTTGTGGCGATCTATTCTTATTTATACTCGTAGACTCCTTGTCCTACCTCTTTCATCTGGCATGTCAGGAGAGCAGGTGAAGGTAATGATTATAGCGTATTTGGAAAAATTCGCTAACTGCCCCGAAACAGTACACATGAGTGGGTTGACCGAGCTAGTGTGGCGTGTATTAGCGTCTAGTGCAGTCTAGATCCATATGTCGGGCTCTCTCTTGACCCGGTAAAATGGATCTCAACAATAACATCTACTCCATCAATTTTTTAAAAAATTTTTTTTTAGAATTTTCATATTTATAAAAAAAAAATAATTGATATTTCTAACCTTTATTTTTATTGATATAAAAATAAAAGTTAAAAACTAAAAAAGAGAATATGGATAAAATGAAAAATATTTGACAAAACTTATCTTGATAAACGAAAAAATCCTTTTTTTTGATACAGATATTTTTTTTTAAAAAAAAATTCTAATTTCAAAAATAGAAAAAATATATAAAATCTTACAATAAATTTTAGAGATGATTTTTATCATATAAATTTATGAGTGCAAATGGTTATCATTAGATGAATTAATAGAATAAAGATTAATACAATAAAGATTAGTGGAATAAGAATGATAGAAGAATAAATTTATTCCACTCATTACTCTCATAAAATATGGAGTAACAAATTTTTAATCTCTTCTTTACAAATTCAGTTTTTTTTTTAGCAGAATTATTGAAATTATTAGCCACTATTTTTCAACTCAAATGGTAATTTTTTTAGAGAAATGTCTAATTCCTCTAAGTTTGTTCTTCTAATTGTACAAGCATTTGCAGCCTATCTCATATTATTCGTCTATGTTCTACGGTGGGAAGACATTCATTCTTCGAAGCTACACTTTTCTAATACATTCTTGTCGGTAGTGTCTTCACCACTATGATAACAGGGTGCTACAACGATTAAATACAAAATGTATAGGGATTAGAGAAATGATCATTGATGGGTCAATGCTTAAATGCAATTTAATATACACAAAAATATATGTGACGCTAGGAATGGAGAGTGTGGTCCCAAAGAATGATAGTGGATCTCCGAGTAACCCAATACCCACAATTTCATCGATCTCTACAATTTCGCGTTACTGAAAACTCAAGTGACCCTTTACGTGTAAGCTAAGGATTGCGATACGCCGATACAGAACTTAGATTATTCCATTTTTGCTCTTGTTAATATTTCACTTCGATGGTTATTATGCAAGCTCACAATTCAAATAGATACAGTATTGCACGATAAGATATAGTCAACTATATCTAGGTTTATAACTAAATTTTAAATTTGTTAAAATAATTTGAAAAAATAAAAAAATAAATTAAATCATTAATACAAAATATATTAAAATACAAAATTGAAATTTTAAAATTGTTTATTTTAATTTTATTTATTTTCTAATTAAAATATTTAAAACATAAAATATATTGCGGATTATTAGCAATATTAACTCTACTTCATTTGTAGTTCAACACTTTATCAACTATTTTTTTAGTTTTGATGCTTCAAAAACTTGCGTATACAATTCTAGTCCTTCGATTCTGTTAATTCTTTCCCCATTAACTATTTCCAAGCAAACAAAGTTTCTTTTTTTCTCTATATGCATTTCTATTACATGATTTCTTTGATCCCAAGAATTTATACAGTTATGTTTCTTAAAACTCGTGTCAACAACTTTTTTACATGATTTTTTTATCATTTCCTCATTGAACTCATCATTAACATATATGATTCATATTTATGTAATTTTGCATGTATTTTTTTGGAATTGTCTAATTATTAAATACTAAAGCACTTTAGATGATTAGTAAATCTATACGTAACATCCCCTTCTGGAAGGTGATTTTCTCTCTCAAAAATGAGGTCCCTTTTCTCGTTCTAGGATTCTCGGGTTCATGGTTAATCAATTGCGGAAACCAACGGATTATGGAAAGGACAAATGTGATCTGGGGAATATCGGGAAGATATGTGTTTTGTTCATGGTTGTTATTTGGATTTTCGGGGGACTGGTGGTCGATTTTGGAGATTTTCGGAATCAATTTCAGGAGAGACAAGCTCAAATCAAATTCAAAGATTGGAGATCAGCAGATCTGGGAAAGGAGCAAAAGTGGAAGGTCATATACTCAGGTCCTGTTTCGATTCAATAATGCAATTATTTCTAATCTGTACTCTGCTTCTACGGATTTGGAGATAAAATCTCTGTCCCGTAATGAATGGATATTAATCACTTATGGTGCTTATTTGGGTATTAGGATCTCGAGTGGATCTCTGGGATACTGGTATGCGATTGGGAATGACGAAGTTCCAAGAAAACTCAATCGGGTTCGGGAATTACGGAGTCATGGAGGCGAGATTGGCGAGATGAGATTTCTGGTGTTCATAATTTCGGTTTCGATTATAGAAGCAAGGGATCACAGTATTAAAGATGAATGGATCATAATCAAGGTAAAGCGATATTATTGGATTCTTGATTCACTAATTGACGCTCTATATGGAAATTTCTTTGGTTTACATCGGGAGTTAATTCAGGATTCTTTAAATGGGATTACTGAAATGGAAGAGTATTCTATAAAGGAAGGCGTTGAGAGTTTTATGAGTTCATACTTGACACTAGCTAAATCTATCCAATTCTCACGGAAAATTCTTAAATCTGATCTATCAGGCTCAAGGATGTCTCAGGCGCACCAAATGATCAATGGAGGTTCAAGCAAGAGGAAAGATACGCTGGCGCCACGGCTAAGGATTACGGTACCTCGCTTCGACAACACATAACTAATCAAGGGATACAATCACACACTTATCGGTCGGTGTATGAACCCAACAATTCAAGACATGAAGGCGCTCCTGTTTATGCTACCACGGATATAGAAGGTTGAAGAGCGGGTGGCGGGAGCAGACTTGGGTATGGGGAGGTTTCAGTTTGATTTTGACACTGAGGAAGACATCCAGGCGGTCCTTGCAATGGAGCCTCTACATTTTGATGGATGGATGGTACCTCTTGTTCGATGGGAGCCTATAATGGATAGCAATTATCCATCGGAGATTACTTTTTGGGTCCGCATGATGGGAGTCCCCCTCCATTTCTGGGCGGAGCCTACATTTCGCAGCATAGGGCAAGCTATTGGGACAGTGAAACAAGTGGACTTGGATGGAGGAAGAGCACAAATCATCATCGATGGGTTCAGACCAATCGTATTTGAAACAACCGTGGAGTTCCACAGCGGGGAAGAGACAACCGTAATTCTTCGTTATGAGCGGTTGTATGGCTACTGTCGGGAATGCTTCAGCCTATGCCATGAGTCCAGTAGATGCCCCACATTATTACCAAAGAGGGAAAGAAGAGATGAGATGCGGTTCACAGAGGAAAAACCTGATGGGGGCGCAAAAAGTTACAAAGGAGCTCTCGTGGGTCATGGTGCAAGCGTGAAGGAGGTATCGCAAATAGAAGACACAAGAGGGAAAGGAAAATTTATGGAGACCCGTGAGGAGCAGGGATTGACTCGAACGGGGGGGGGGGGGGGGGGGGGGGGGGGGGGGGGGGGGGGGGGGGGGGGGGGGGGGGGGGGGGGGGGGGGGGGGGGGGGGGGGGGGGGGGGGGGGGGGGGGGGGGGGGGGGGGGGGGGGGGGGGGGGGGGGTGAAGATGAAGAGTGATGTCAGGAGGTCTTCTAGACCAATGCCGCCGAGGGATGTCAGGAAGCGATTTGAAGGGGTTTCCAGGACTATCCACCGCTCTATTAAGGAGCGTAGTACGGAGCAATGAGGGTAGGGGACCGAGAATACGAATGTGGGAAGCGACAAAGATAGCCCTCCACAACAACATTCCGCTATGAAGGTTAGAAAGGGATTGTTGTTTGAGGAGAATTCTATGAGTATGGAAGATTTAGTTACAAGGAGGAATCAGGTTCCCGCAGTGGGATGTGAGAAAGAAGCAACAACAGCACCGAGGGAAGAGACCCAAGCAGTGGAGGGAGGAGGCGGAGGGGAAGTTCAGATCAATGATGATGATTTGGAGCAGGATGGGTTATGCATGGTACTACACCGAAGAAGAAGGGGGTCGTAAAGGAACTCAACCGGGGGGGGGGGGGGAGAGAAAAAGGGACGGTGCAGCAACGGAAGAGTGAGGCTCCGATGGAGGGGCAGGGAGATAATTATAAAGTTTAATGCGGATTCTGAGCTGGAATTGTCAAGGTATGGGTAATAAGTATACAATAAGCTATCTCAGGGAGGTTTGGCGGAAATTTAGACCGGATTTTCTATTTCTTTCTGAAACTAAGCAATGTTTTGTTGAGCAATTTCAATTGCATTTTGGGTATGATTTTTTATTTACGGTTGATCCATGTGGTGCCAGTGGTGGCTTGGCATTGTTATTTAATAAAGACTTTGATGTTAAAGTTTTATTTTCTAATAAAAGGATAATTGATATAGAAGCATCTTTTGAAGGAAACTTAATTTATATGTCCTTTGTCTGCGGTGACCCAGTCCAGAGACTAAGAGATCAAGTTTGGGAAAGGATAACAAGAACGGGTATAACACGAAGTGGGCCATGGTTTTTAATTGGTGACTTTAATGAAATCACTGGAAATCATGAGAAGCAGGGTGGGCGAATAAGACAACCCTCCTCATTTATAGGTTTTAACACAATGATTAGTGATTGTGGACTCATCGATTTTCCAAATCGGGGAAACACGCTGTCTTGGAAAGGTCGACGCAGTGGACAAAATGTCCGATGCAGATTGGACAAAGGACTTGCCACAGAGGAATGACACGATCTATTTCCATATTCATATGTGGAATATTTGAAAATGATAGGTTCAGACCACCGACCTATTGTAGCAACAGTCGAATCACGGAAAATTAAACGAAAAAATCAATTTCGTTTTGACAGGAGATGGATTGGTCGAGAGGGTTTAATGGACGCAATATCACGAGGTTGGAAGGACTATGATAATCAACCAGGCCAGTCATTGGCAGACATGATTGTTACCTGTAGACACGAAATATCCAAATGGCGATAAAATTGCAAACCTTTTGGCAGAACTAAGATAGAAGAGTTACAACAGCAATTGGAGGTTATGCAGATGGATGATACATATACCCAAGATGAGCTTAATCAGGTTACTCAAAAGCTTAGGGAAGCGTACCAGGAGGAGGAGGATTACTGGCAACAGAAAAGTCGAAATCTCTGAAATCGATGTGGAGATCTCAATACAAAATATTACCATGCTATCACAAAGCAACGAAGGACAATTAACAGACTAGTAGTATTACATGACAGTCGCGACAGTTGGGTAACGGGGGATAGACCGATGGAGAAAGTAGCAGTAGAATACTTTTCAGAACCTTTTAAATCCACTTTACCAATGGATATTGAGAATTTCTTAGAAGAAATAGACTCAGAAGTGATGGAACAGGAAAATGAGGAACTAACAAAACCGGCAACGGACACTGAAGTGAAGGAGGCTTTATTTATGATGCACCCCACAAAAGCCCCGGGACCAGATGGAATGACAGCATTATTTTTTCAGAAATCATGGGATATTATCAAGGATGATGTTGTAAATCAAGTGAATCGATTTTTTGATTCAGGACGATTTGATAAGAGACCGAATATGACAAATATATGTCTAATTCCAAAAACAGAGAGACCAACCAGGATGACAGAATTAAGACCCATAAGCCTCTGTAATGTAGGATATAAAATAATATCCAAGGTACTGTGTCAAAGATTGCAGAAGTTATTACCATGGTTGGTCTCGGAAACACAGTCAACATTTGTCTCAGGAAGGCTCATATCAGATAATATTCTAATAGCACATGAAATGTTCCATGGGTTGAGAACAAATAACTCTTGTAAGAAACATTTTATGGCGGTCAAAACGGATATGAGTAAAGCCTATGATCGGGTATAATGGATCTTCATTAGACATCTACTAATGAAACTGAGTTTCACAGAAAAATAGATTAGTTGGATAATGTGGTGTATTGAATCAGTCCAGTATAGAGTACTAATAAATGGGAGAGCACGGGGTAAGGTGAAACCAACAAGGAGACTTAGACAAGGAGATCCTTTATCACCCTATCTATTTATACTTTGTACGGAAGTGTTAATCGCAAATGTGAAGAGAGCTGAAAAGGATAACTTACTCACTGGTATTAAGATAGCTTGTGGGAGCCCCTCGGTCTCTCATTTATTTTTTGCGGATGACAGCTTATTTTTCTGTAAGGCGACGCAGGAAGAGGCGTCGATTATACTACATATTTTACAGCAATATGAGGCAGCATCGGGTCAACAAATAAATTTTACGAAATCATCGGTACAATTTGGATACAAGGTTCCAACGGTGACAAGGGAACTAATACATAATACATTAGATATTGTCAACTTAGGTGGGATGAGCTCATACTTGGGGATTCCGGAAAGCCTAGGGGGAGCAAAAACGAAAGTCTTTAACTTTATTTTGGAAAGACAGCAGAAACGGGTGAATAGCTGGACATTGAAATTGCTATCGAGAGGAGGGAAAGAGGTACTCATTAAATCAATACTCACAGCAATTCCGACGTATACAATGTCCTGCTTCAGACTACCAAAGACAATCACGACGAAATTAACAAGCTCGGTAGCCAAATTTTGGTGGAGTAAGAGTGGACAAGCACGGGGAATGCATTGGATGGCGTGGCAAAAAATGTGTAAATCAAAAGATGAAGGAGGACTGGGGTTTCGGGCGGTGGAGGATTTAAATACGGCTCTTCTAGCGAAGCAACTATGGCGACTTATCGATTATCCAGATTCACTGTTTGCTAGAGTATTTAAAGGGAGATATTTTAGGGATGGCACACCCATGGACCCAATAAGGTCATTCTCTCCATCCTATGGATGGACGAGTATCACATCTGCTAGATCTCTGGTACAAAAAGGACTTATCAAAAGAGTTGGATCAGGACACTCCATCTCAGTATAGAATGATCCATGGATCCCATCCTCACGCCCGAGACCAGCTACATGCAAAGGGATTAATATATATCCTGAGCTGACAGTCAATCAACTAATTGACCATGAAACCTCAACGTGGAATATACCACTATTGGAACAATTGTTGGTTACGGAAGACATTCCGCTGATTACCGGTCTGGCAACAACACGGGAGTATCGCCAGGATCGTTTGGGATGGAATTTCACCAGGACAGGGAGATACACGGTCAAATCGGGTTATGAAATAGAGCAAACATACCCTGATAAGGAACCCTCAAGGTTGTTTGGGCCCGACATAAATGAGTTACAGATAAAGGTATGGGCTATCATGTGCCCACCAAAATTAAAACATTTCATTTGGCAAGTGCTTTCTGGGTGTTTAGCGGTATCAGCTCGGGGAATAAACTGCGACCCCCAATGCAGCAGATGTGGTGCGGATAAGGAAACTATAAACCATACTTTATTTGAGTGTCCTCCGGCAATTCAGGTATGGGCGCTTTCGCCAATACCCACGCCCTTAGACTGCTTTCCAGGAGAAGGCTTGTATACCAATATGGCATATTTATTTGGGAACCTGCCTAATAATGACGACATGAGGGCATATCCTTGGATAATTTGGTATATCTGGAAAATGCGGAATGAAAAGATTTTTAAAAACAGAGACCGAGACCCCCGAGATATTGTTAGGGTTGCAAACGCAGAGGCACTCACATGGAACGAAGCACAAACGGAATTTAAGAGAAAAAACCCCACAAGGACTTCAGAATGAGACTCAAACCAGAGAGGGGACAATCTGCTATACAGATGGATCATGGAAAGAGGACGTCTTGAATGCAGGATTAGGATGGTACTGTGAAGATACAATTACCAGGAATACTTTGATGGGTGCCCGGAAAATAGGGAGGAGCTTAACGCCTCTACATTCAGAATTAGAGGCTCTAATATGGGCAATGCACTGTATGCTTGACAATGGGAGGAAAAATGTGGTTTTCTTAACTGATGGTTCAGAAATGTTGAAGATGGTCACTGATCCAAAAGGATGGCCAGCATTCGCCCTACATCTAGAGGAGTTTGAAGTATCAAGACAGGAATTTGAGTTTTTCTCAATCTCAAAAATACCTCGAGCGCAGAACACGAAGGCGGACAAGTTAGCACGAAGTGCTCGAGACCACCTTTATCATCTATATTATGTAAACTCAACTCCTCCAGAATGGTTAACACCGTTCTAGAGGAAATTGAGGCTGTAGACAAAAAAAAAAAAAAAAGCACTTTAGATGTATACAATATACATTAAAAATTTCCTTTTATTATCTTTTTTCAAATTGTATATTAATTTTGCATTTAGGATTAGTGTTTTAAGTTATTTTATTTTTATAAACTGGAATATATTATTTTATTAATTTAATCGCGACATATGTCAAAATCTGTACAATTGACTCGCCACATATTGCAATCATGTAAGTTACTAACTTTGACGCATCCAATTTTATATAATAAAATTATAGATAAGTAAATAATATATTCACGTGATGTATAAAAGGGTTGAATGATATGTAGCTTTTTTACGTTTTCATGTTTTAAAAATATGATTTCAGTAAATACATACCATATATAATATTAAGCATTAAATAGTAAAACGTGAAAATTAATACGTTATTTTCCAGTCCATCCTGCATGTTTTAAATTTATTACCAGTTTAGAGAAAAATTCATTCATCTAATAGATATTAACTCTTTAGTGTTTTAAACTTATTCAGTTTTCAGTTTATCCAAACTATTAATTCCGCTAGTTTATTCTTTATTTATTCTGCTATTATGTTATTAAATTGATATAGCAGTCAAACCCAAAGTAAAAATGTTGTTTATATAATAAGATTATAGATAAGTAAATAATATATTCACGTGATGTATAAAGTAAAAATGTTATTCGTTTTATAAAGTCTTTATATAACACTCATCCACGTGACGCTAATACTAAAACGAGGTAAATGTCAATTATTTTCTAAAATGAAATAGTAAGGTTAGTTAATGCATATTCCTTTTTTTTATTGACAAAGATCAATAGTTCAGGTTTTTTTTTTTTTTGAACAC